AGTTAGGCAAATCGTAGGTGTACGCTAAAAACAAGATTGGAGAGAGTACACCACCTTGCGGAACACCGCTAGTGCATAAGTAGCGTTTCGAAAAGGCATTTCCAACTTTCACGCACATGTGCCTGTCGGTTAGGTAGGAGCGTATCCAGTTGTGGATAGTACCACCTACACCTAGCTGACATAGTCTGAGCAAAAGTTTATCAATGTTCACTCTATCAAAAGCTTTGGACAAATCAAAGTAGATTACATCAACACCTTGACCTTTGTTCATGGCTAAACTCCAGTCAAAGACGCAGTCTGCCATCAAAGTACTTGTAGAAGCACCCGCTATGAAACCATGTTGTTCCTGTGGGATTAACATGTTCCTGCTGAGGTGCGTTGCAAGTTTGTCACGTATAAGTTTTTCCAAAATTTTAGCAGTAGGTGAGGTTATACTAATAGGACGAAAGATGACACCTTGTCCGGTTTTGGAACTTTCGGGATTGCAGTTATGATAGACTCCTTTCCAGATACAAGGGACCTCAGAAAACATAAGTGATGCATTCAATATCATACAGATGGGTTTATACAGAGAACGAGCGCATTTTTTCAGCACAATCTGAGGAATACCATCATAAGGAGAGGAGCAAGAAGTCTTGAGTGACTTCAGCAACTTATACACTTCTTCAGGGGTAACAGTGATGTCAGAGAGAAGATTTGGCATGCGACTGTTCTCAACGACTTCCACTGGGCTAGCAGAGGGCGTAGTATAAACGGACGCAAAGAAACTTGCAAGCGCCTCAGCTTTCTGAACATCAGTTATGAATAGATCACCGGAGTCATTTTTCAGAAGTGGTACATTCAGTTGAGGTCTCATTTTACTTCTGATGAGTGCAAAAAGAGCTTTCTTATCTGCGCTGGTATAGATGCGTTTTTCTTTGGAGGCAAGAAATCTTCGTATGTGATAATCGAGCTCTGTGCAGATTCTCTGATAAGAATGGATCAAAAGGGGGAATTCCTGTAGTTTTCTGAACAGCCGAACTTTTTGTGCCATGAGATTACATATGTGTTTCGGGTATCGTAATCTAGGCGCTCTCGTGGACTTAAAAGGTACATATTTAGCAAACCCAGTGTACAAAATGCAGCAAAATCTCTATAGAGATCATCCACAGAATGATATCCTTCGAAAGCACTCCACCAGTCAATGGAAGATAAGTACTGTGAAAGGGCAGGGTAGTCGGCTTTCGCAAAATTGGGGAGGGGGAGCAGTTTGGGCTCATTCAACGAAATAGAGATCTCAAAAGAAACAACGTTGTGGTCGGACGCAGCAAAAGGTGGACACACACACAAATTCTCGACAATTGGGTTGTTACTTAGCACCAAGTCTAGGATTGAATTACCTCGTGTTGGATGCGCCACATGTTGAGTTAAATCGAAAGATTCAAAGAGTTTAAGGAATTTAGAGGATGCCGGACTTTTAGCTTTTCTAGATGGCCAGTCTATCTCCAGGTTGAAATCACCCAGAATCAAGTTTTTAATCGAAACACAGAGCTCCAACAACGATTCAATGAGACTCTCATCATTCGAATCTGAATTTGGTGGCCGATATATCAAAATAACTCTAAAGCTTAGGGAAGACGAACATGTCGTACCCCTCGAGGCTAAGTATCTCCGAGCTTTGGCAAGAAGGCGTCGCAACGGCTGATAGGTGAATAATATTCTTAGCTAAGCAACAAACACCACCTCCTTTACGATTTTTACGGTCAAGACGGAAAATATTGTAGGGTCGGCCAGAAAGGATTTCAGCGTCAGAAATTTTGGAAGACAGCCATGTCTCAGTGATAAAAACGAGATCGGGATTATACATATCGAGGAAAAAGTGGAGATGGTGGAGTTTGTTGCCCAGACTTCGTGAGTTGAAGAGGAAACATCTCAGTCCGGTCGGTGTTCCGTGCCGCATTATGCGTTTCCCGACACTTGCGGTTTGGGTAGCTCGTCGGCGCGCCTCAACTCACCACGA